AAAAAAATATGTAAAAATTAATTAAAATAAACACAAATATTACCAAATAATTCACTCTCGTTGACATCAACTTTATTTATCAATTGATGATATGGTCGCAGCTCAAAGATATTCATTGGAAAAAGTGGATCAATTGTTTCAGCCACTGTTGTCCGTTGAATAAACGTCAGCATCAATCTATGTTTTGTGGTGTTGAACCTCTCCTTGTTTTGGCAGGCGATAAAGTTCGCCATAAGATATAATCCAAGCTCATTAATTTTTTTGTTGAAAATATGCAAAACAGACTTGCCAATAGAAGCATGTATACGATCGCCCTATAAAGAAATTACAATAAAGGAAAGATATTACAAATCTGTATAGTTTAGTATTTATATTAGCTTTAGTTTTAAACAGTAGAGTTAAACAATTTAATTAGTGACACTAATTCCACAAAAAAAAACAGATTTGCAAGTCATGTAAATGTTTATAAAAAATACAAAAAAGCGGATGTGCAAGTCATGCAAATGTTTATAAAACATGCTTAAGAAAATCACCTGTTTCTAGTAATGTAGAAACAACAACTACAAATTATCCACATGTATACAGGATATAAAGCTGAGCATTGGTAATAAACTTGTTTTACAGTTCGAACTAAGCGAAATCTAAAAATCTGGAAAAGCAAAACAAATGTTTGGATATTGACATTTAAATTATTCCTATAAAAATCTGGAAAAGCAAAACAAATGTTTGGATATTGACATTTAAATCTGAAAGAGCAAAACAAATCTATGGATATTGACATTTAAATTTCGAATAGCAGAAAGGAATTAGCAAGCCAATAACATAATAAAAATACCTTTTCATCTTGTAGAGCCAATTCAATTGAGAATATAGAGCCAGGATTAAAACGATCCGGTTTTTCCCACATACGGACAACACGAACTTTCAACTTCCATTGCATCTTTGATATAGTTATATCCTTGATGAAATCATTGTTAGCGGCCATCTTTTGGGTAATTCGTAATTTTTGTTGAAATCTTGGTAGAAGAACGAACATTAAAATTGAAGCAGTTGTACATGTGGAAGAAACATATATTTTGAGCTTTGAGCAGTTGATACCCAATATAGTAAATCATGGGTTTGATAGTTCAAAATAAGGTGACTTTGCAGAGAGAAAACGTGACTTTGCAGATAAAATTTAGGGTTAATTGAAGTTAAAATTTGTTTACCAAATTTTGTGGAATAAAACGATTGTGGAGCAGTTGAAGTTTTTTTTTTGTTTTACCCACGTTCAATTAATGCTTAGAAACTGACTTTTAGTGTGAGAAGTTGTAAAGCCGCCTGTTGAAGAAAGTGCAGTTGATGATATTTTACGCCTCTTTTTCGCAGAGGAAATAACTGTGCCTCTTTGTTGGTTAAAATATGGTATTTGTATTTTAATGCCGTCTTAATTCAATAAATTCAATATTCAATAAATCTCTATTAAAAAAGAAGAAGTTCGGTTCTTCATGTTCAAAGTTAAAGAGTGAAAAAAAGTTTATTTTAAAATCAGTTAATCTTTTATAAATAAAGAAATATTTAATATTTTAAATATGAAGAAATCTGGAATTGTGAAGGAGTTTTTTTTTTTCAAATAATTTTATAGCTCCTATTTTTTTGGAGGACTGTCCTAAAGGGCCAAGGGGCATATTTTAATGATGCCACTTGGCGAAGTGAGAATGCTTTTTCCCTTGCTTTTAATTATAGATAGATAGGAGTAATTTCTTTTTTCTTTTTAAAAGGTACTGATACTTTTATATTCCAAATCACATAAAAAAATTAAATTGGTTGATTTTCAAACCCTAACCCGACTATGCTTTTTAAGAAGGAAACGGTGTATCAGATCCGAAATCTACAGGGAGAGAGTTGTATATTGTAGAGTTGGTGTTTAGGAACTTGATGAGCTACAGGGGAGAAATTGACTACTGCTGTATTCAGATCAACCTATTTTCCTATTGTTCCTTTTTTCTTTTCTGTTTTTCTTTTTAAGTTGCCGTTTTAAAAATAACATCTTTATTCCCAAATGTGTACTTTAGTCTTAAGTCCAAAATAAGCTCAGGATAAAGTAAGACAAGTTATAGTGACTTCTGTCCGAAGTTTTTTCCCTTAGAGTCCCTCGCCCTCTTACCATATGCTTATGGCTTAATACAGGGAAAAGTTTAAATTTGACTTCAAATGCTTATTTTTATCTAAGGGGGAAAGAAAACCAATCACAGTCCAAAATGCTCTGAATAGTTTTTTGGACATCCTGGTAGACTTGATACTTCTTTTTTTATATAATATTATCAGTCACCATGTTTGAATTACTTGGCGAACTCCAGCTATGTTCGTTCTTGTTTCCAGTCCCTATTTTTGGTATTTGTTAATTGACCTGTGACTCTCTCTTTTAAGTGTCTCTTGATGTTTGTTATTATAGAAGTCTATCATTTAAGAAAATGGGATTCTGTCAAGCTTGGAAAATACTTTTGATCTCTCTTCTTTCGTACTGTATCGTCCAGTCATATTATTGCAATGCCTCAGACGCCATTCTGCAATCACAAGAGCTCTTAGTAGGGGATACTTTAACCTCTGCTAGTCAGGTTTTTGAATTGGGATTCTTTAGTCCTGCCAATTCCAGTAAAACGTACCTGGGGATATGGTTTAAGAATATCCCGCCTCGTAAAGTTGTGTGGGTTGCAAACAGGGAAAGTCCACTTAATGTTTCTGATTCCACTGCAAGTCTATCGATTAGCAAAAATGGAAACTTGGTGATTCTTGATGGTGTACAGAATGTTATCTGGTCAAGCAATGTCTTTGTCCCCACTAATAACACAGTTGAAGTTGTTCTCCTGGACAGTGGGAATTTGGTGCTTAAAGATAATATCTCAGGACAATGCTTCTTTGAGAGTTTCGATTATCCTTGTGATACTTTCTTGCCTGGAATGAAAATAGGTTTCAACAGGATAACTGGGAAGAGATGGCTCTTATCTTCTTGGCACAAGGAAAATGACCCCTCACCGGGAAATTTTTCTGTTGGAATCTCGGAGCAACTTCCTTCTCAGTTTTTCATATGGAACAAATCTACTCCCTACTACAGAACCGGGGAGTGGAATGGACTGAAGTTCATTGGTCTTCCCTATATTGATTCAGCAGCCTATATAGTTCAGTTTGTCTTTCAGCAAGATTTTCAACAGGGAACTGCATACTTCACCTTTCTTCCAAATACTTCATTTCTAACTTTGGTGGAACTTCAGTCAACAGGATCTGTTCAAGTTGTTCAGTGGACCGATGGGGCTCCTGCTTGGGAAGTCTATGCTAAGATGGTACATCCACCATGTGATATATATAACACTTGTGGACCTTCAGCAATCTGCAGCAAGAATAAATATCCAACTTGCAGCTGCTTAAGAGGGTTTGTGCCACGGTCTAGTGACGAGTGGAGCAGAGGGAACTGGACAGGTGGTTGTGTGAGGCGAACTAAATTACTATGTCAGCGGAAGGGAATTAACACGTCTCCAGGGGTTGGACAGCAGGACGGTTTTTTGAAGTTTAGTGGACTGAAACTGCCTGATCTAGCTGCTATTTTTCGCCTTGATAGTGCTAGTGAATGTGAAAGGTTATGTTTGAACAATTTCTCTTGCACTGCTTATGCTTATGTGGCAGGAATTAGGTGTATGGTGTGGTCTGGAGATCTTTTAGATATGCAGGATTACTCATATTCTGGGGAAGTTCTTTTCCTTCGGCTTGCTTACTCAGAATTAGGTAACTATTACATTAATTTTGTTTTACACTAACTTTATGATGTAATCCATCTACTGCAGTAGCTTATTGAAATGTCGTTCAGTTTTTCCAGGTAAGCGGAAGCTTAAAAGAGCACTAATCATATGTTCTGCAGTATTTTCCAGTCTCTTGTTGGGGATTGCTTTATATTGTTTGCTCAAGAATAAGATTTATCAAACAGGTAATGATATATGTCCCCCCAAAGTGAATAAGAAAAAAATGTTTTTGACAAATGAAACTACCTTGATGGTTTTGTTGACACAGCTATGCAACGAACGTCAAGCCTGATCTTTAATTATTTGCTTCCTTTAACAGGACAAAAAAGAAAAGGAACCATAAGCTTTCGTATAAGTGATTCATGCAACATTTCAAAAGAATATGCACTGGAAAGTTTCTGGATTGGCAATTTAAAGAAAGAAGATCCAGTTGAGCTTCCACTGATTGAATTTGAGCTAATTGCCGCTGCAACAAACAACTTCAAATTAGACAACAAACTTGGGGAAGGAGGATTTGGCCCTGTTTTCAAGGTAACTACTCTTTTCCTCAAGCACTTAACCTACTATGTGGTCAAATACACGAAAGTCCATAGCGGAACTTGCACTACAAGGGATTTGATTACTGAAATTATGTATTATCCAACTTCTTTTACCCTTTATTTTTTTTCTTTTGAGAGAGCTGGAGGGGTTTGTAAAGTAAGTTTTCTGATCATTTGACTTTTAATGGGCTGACCTTGCATAGGGAAAGCTAAAAGGTGGACAAGAAATAGCAGTGAAAAGACTTTCTAATCGAACAGGGCAAGGCATAGAAGAGTTCAAGAATGAAATCGTATTAATATCAAAACTCCAGCACAGGAATCTTGTACGACTCCTGGGATGCTGCATTGAAGGGGAAGAACTTCTTATAATTTATGAGTACATGCCAAACAGAAGCTTGGATAAATTTCTCTTTGGTATGGCTGCTCTTGTTTTCTCTCTTCTAATTCTTTTCTCCATCTTGTAGAGTCAATTAGAAAATATAGTTTCCATCATGTTTAACATGTCCAAGGGATACTTATTTAACTCTTTGTACATTTAATGATCAGATATATCACAGAAAGAACTGCTAGATTGGCCTAAACGGTTCAACATCATTCAAGGTGTTGCTAGGGGGCTACTATATCTACATCGAGATTCCTGTCTGAACATTATACACCGGGATCTGAAAGTAAGCAATATCCTTTTGGATGAAGAGATGAATCCAAAAATTTCAGACTTTGGTTTAGCAAGAACGTTTCAGAAGCAGCAGCAGCTTGTGCATACTCACCGAGTAGCTGGAACATAGTAAGCGACCTTATTTCCGTACTTCTCAATTGATAGACGTTCAGAACCGCCAATTAACATGCATTCAAGATGTAGAAGTAAAAATTGGTTATAGCCTCATCCTGCTACTCTTTTATAATTCGAATTTGCATCATAAAAACATATGTCGTTTTGATTTACTTTTGAAAGTACTAATATTTGCAGTGGATATATGTCTCCTGAATATGCTTTGAGGGGGGTATTCTCTGAGAAATCTGACGTCTTCAGCTTCGGAGTCTTGCTATTAGAAATCATAAGTGGCAAGAAAAATTCAAGTTTTCATTACGTTGAAGAGAATCTTAACCTTCTCAATTATGTTAGTACACTCTTTCTTTGATGCTCCATTACTATTTGATCAACTTCACTCATTTTTATGTATTGAACCCCATGACAGTGTGTACCAATATTGCAGGCATGGAAATTATGGAGTGAACAAAGGGGATTAGACTTTATGGATGGGACGTTAATCAACTCATTTTCTCCAGAAGAGATAACGCGATGCTTACATGTTGGCCTTCTCTGTGTTCAAGAATGTCCTAGGGATCGTCCTACCATGGCAGCCATAATTCTCATGTTAAACAGTGAAATGAAATGCTCAACTCCTAAACAACCTACATTTAAGTTTGAAACATATTTGGATCTTGCCGGTTCGGCAAAAGATAATGACAAATATTCTGTTAATGAGTTTAGTGCATCTTTGTCTCAAGGACGATAGAACATGTCAATGTACATTCTTAAATGTTGTTACTTAAGTACAAAAATCCAGTCATTAGCCTCCTGATGATGTTTAGTATCCCTCACAATTTGTAAATGAACCATTCCAGGGGATGTAATTCTTTTCTAAACCCAATTTTACAGGGTCAATCTTGTACTGGTTAACATTATTTTTTAATAAGATGACTTTGTTTTATTCTCAAGCACCATTTAGTGTAAGTTCAACATTGCGTAATCACTACTAGAAAATTGCAAAAAATAGTCTAGAAATGCTGACCGAAATCGATCGGAAAACTAGAAAAACCGACCGATTTCCGACGAGTTTAAGTCGTCGAAATTAGGCTGGTTGATAATAAATAGCGACCGAAGTCGGTCGTAATTTTTGACCGATTTCGGTCGGTTTTATTAAAAATATAAAATTACGACCGACTGATTTCGGTAATTTTTTAATTTTAATTTTAATTTATTTTACATGAAAAAACGACTAAAATTGGTCATTTTCTTAAAAAATAAATTTCGCGGGACGCCAAAATAGTTTCCCATATTTTTGCGCCAAAAAACCGACCGAAGTTGGTCGGTTTCATAAAAAAATTAAAATAAAATATTTTAAAAAACCAACCGACTTTGATGAATTTTTCGATCGATTTTTTATTGATGGAAGTCGATCGGTCGGCCGCGGTCGGTATTGGCCAAATTTCTAGTAATGTGCTGAACATAATTCCAAACAGTAGTACCAAGCTTAATATCAAGGTAGCAGTCTCATATCGTTGTTAAGATACCCTTCATATCTTTTTTTTTTGGTTCCAGATGCTTATTTTCGTCTTTTTTTAAATCATAAAACAAATCCTATTATCAAACTTCAACTAATATTCTTTTTGCGTAGAGGGTTGGGGTAAAGGGTACTGCAGCAGATTTATAGACATTCCTTGTACATACTTCCAACTGCCAACTATAAAACATGACACTATTTGGTTCATGAGCAGAGCCATATGTCTCTCTGTGGTACCCCAGCTACATTTATATAATTCAAAGAATACCCAACTCATTTTCCTCTAGGATGAATTCATTCAGCTTGCTGCACCTTTTTATTTTTGGCCCCCCTTGCTACATTTGTTTTCTAGTATTTAGTACACCCTCCGTTACTTTTACCCATATCAATAGTTAATAATTTCTCAAATTTATTGGAGTACTTGTAGTAAAATTTGGATTTCCAAAACATAGTAATTCACATAAATAAGGGTGAGTATTAAATTAAACCCTTAATTAATATTTTAAAATACATATTTGATAAGGAATTTTTACCTAGCTCTACTATATTAGAAATTTATTTACCTATTTTCTCTATGTTTTGTAGTTTTTAATAAGTATCTAGGTTTTTCTTAAAAATTATATACATTGCTCCTTAAAAGGCTCTCACCCTATTATTAGTGCCTTCAATTAAGCGATTCAATTATATCATTTCCTTTTTTTCCCTTCTCCTCCTCTCTCTTCTCTTTTTAAACATCAAACTCCCTTAACCTACGCCTAGAATCTCCATCTTCTCTCATTCCACCATTGCCGTTAACTTTATATTATTAAAAAATTGTCAATTGCAACGTTCTTTTGCTGGAAGATTGGACAACACTGAAAATAAAGAAACATTCAAATTGTTGCCAGAATTATTCCCAATGCCTTTTCATTAAAAAGTTGTGAATTCGATATTTATATTTTTAGATTCTGTGATTTATTTGGATTGGATATTCTTGCAAATGATTGAGAATATACTTAGAAGTTTATATCTCAATTTTGAGGGAGATTAGTTGAGTATAAAGTTGGTTTTATGTGAAATTTGATATTGAACTCGAAAAAGAAGAAGTTGCAGAAATTGTATGATAACTGTATCATAATTGTATTTGAATTGTATCAGATACATCAATGCCTAAAACATAATTGTATCATGCTTGTATCACATTTGTATATAATTTGTATCTGGTACATTAATACCCAAAATAATATATGATACAAAACTAATAAATTAATATACAATTGTCATATATTTGTGATACAAATTGTGAAATTGGTCACGAACTCACAACTACTCGTAACAATATACAATAAATATACAAATACCATACATTTGTAATACAATTCCTGCAATAATTATGATACATATACAATTATAATACAATCGCGATGCATTTCTGAAAAATTGTGACACAATTTATAATCTTCATTTTTTTCAATTTTCAATCATAACTCTACACTAAAAAAAAAATAATATAACCATATTATAATTATAATAGTATTGTATCAAATATTATTTTGGATATTAATGTATTATATACATGCCACATACAATTTTGATACAATTGTGATATAATTCTAAAATAAATATGGTACAATTATCATATAATTCAGAAAAAATTACTTATCGGTGAAGAGAACAACTGCAAATCGAAGTTCAAACCTGTAAGATTTTAGTGGAGAGATAGCAATTTGGGAAGATTCTATAGAAAAAAGTCATATAATGATTCTTATTGTTAGTGAAGCCATTGTTAATGTGGAGTAAAGCTTGAAAAAGAGACAAAACAAAAGAAAGAAAACAAGATTTTAGAGCAATATTCTGAATTTTATCTGCATTATATCGATAAGAAAGAGAGATTTTGGATGATCAATTAAAAAGAAAGAAATTGGGTTTGAAGACCTTTGAAAAAGGAAAGGAATCTGCAATGGGTGGGGGTGGGGGTGGGGGGGTTACAAAAAAAATAAGAGTAATTTTGGGTAATTATTAGAAAAGAGTGAAAACTTTTTTGAAATCCTTTGGAAAAAGAACAATCTTAAATGTAAGGGGTTTATTGGAAATAAGAGTGGGTGTNCGTTTAAATTTTGTCCTATTATTTTTTCTTTTTTATTATTTATTTTTTTAAGACAAACTGGTTTGATATTTTATTATTATTTTTTAAATGATGAGTTTAATATTATTCAAGTGCTTATGTTTTTCTTTTGTCGTCCAGTGAAATTGTACATTGTCCATGAAATAAGAGAGACTGGATTCTATTAACTAATTAGTCAGTTGCTATACGCATAATATTTTATTTTTCAGTTCGTTCTTCCTCAACTAAGAATCTTTAATTAGTAAAGAGAAGAAAACTTGCAAATAGGTACATGAGGATCAAAAGAAAATGGAGTAGTTCTACTATTTCTGAACCCATAAACCACCAGTCAGTTGATTATTTTAAGAGGACATAATTACATGAGACATAGGGTAGGGATGGAACAAAACAAATCTTAGAAATATAAACCATTCGGCCATCCCTTATAACGATTCGTAATATTAATGTTTATCGATATGAACATTGTTGAATAGCAACCATTATATATTTTTAATACCAAAAATATTAATGAAAATATAAATAATTACAAGATACAAAATAAGAATACTTTATTTGGACAAAAACCTAATGCCAATGATATGATTTAAACATGAGTTATATAAAACAGCTATAAGCTCATTATTTTGAAGTAAGTAAATAATTCTTTAATAATTTAAGAAATCTCCAATTTTACTTATCACTATTTAACAATTTATTTCAGGCCAATGAGGCAATATCATTTATTATAAATTCAAGCAATCAACTAAATCATGCCGAGATCGTGCAGCGCGATCCAACATATAAATATAAACTATGCACTGCCGAGGGTCGAACGGCACGAACCAACATATAAATATAAACTGTGCACTGCCGAGGGTCGAACAACACGAACCATAGATAAAATAAAATTGTGTAACGACCTGACCGTCGTTTTGAGCTCTAGCGCGTCGTTCGACAGTGAGGCCATGCACAACTTCACTTCAGGTATTATGACTTGTACGCGTGGTCGGAATTGAAATTGGGGAAGTTCGGAGTTGAATTGGAAAGAAAGTTCTCATTTTGAAAGCCTTAAGTTGAAAGAATTGACTAAGGTTTGATTCTTGAGTAAACGACCTTGGAATCAGGAATTGAAGGTTCCAGCAGGTTCGTATGATGATATCGGACTTGAGCGTATGTTCGGATCGGGTTTTGGATGATCCGGAAGCGTTTCGGCGCCTATTGTGAAAGTTAGTATTTTGGAAGAATTTCATAAATTTGGATTGAAGTGCATTTCAATGTTATGTCCGTTTGGAATTCCGAGTCATGGAATAGCTTCGTATGGTGATTTTGGTACTGAGAGCGCGACGGGATATGGATTTGGAGGTCCGTAGGTCATTTCGGGATCATTTGGCGAAAGTTAGAAATTTGAAGGTTTTTGAGAAGTTTGATCGAGAGTGAATTTTTTTATATCGGGGTCGAATTCCGATTCTGAAAGTTGGAGTATGTCCATAATGTCGTATATAACTTGTGTGCAAAATTTGAGGTCAATCAGACGTGATTTGATAAGTTTCGGCATCAAATGTAGAAGTTTGAAGTTCTAAAGTTTATTAAGCTCGAATTGGGGTGTGATTCATGATTTTAACGTTGTTTTATGTGATTAAAGGCCTCGAGCAGGTCCGTGTAATGTTTCAAAACTGATTGGTATAATTGGATGGGGTCCCGAGGCCCCCGAGTGGACTCCGGGTGGTTAACAGATCAAATTGGGAATTTAAGGAAGAGTTGAGGTAGCTGATATCTGGTGTAACCGCACCTGCGAGGTTTTAGCCGTAGGTGCGGAGCCACAGAAGCAGTCAAGGGAGGCACCGAAGCGAAGGCCATCGCAGGTGCGCACTGTCCATCACAAAAGCGGTCTGCGCAGATGCGGCCTTTTTGTTTGCAGGTGCGAGCTTTGGCTGGGCAGCGAGGACCGCAGGAGCGGGATTTTGACCGCACCGGCGGAGCCGCAGAAGCAACTGTTGGTCCGCAGGTGCGAAAGTTGGTTGGGCAGTGAGGTTTCTTTAAAGACGGGACTTGGCCCATTTTTCAGTTGGTGGAGGCGGTTGGAGAGCTTCAAGGAGGTATTTTCATCAAGCAACTCAAGGTAAGTGGTTCCCACCTATTGCAAGTTAAATACATGGATTCTATAAAGATTTGAGCATGAAAATTTGTGAAAATTGTGGGGTTTAAGGTAGAAACCCTAAAAATTGGTATTTTTGGTGTTTCACCACGAAATTGGACATGGAATTGGGAATAAGTTATATATTTGAGTTCGTGGTGTTATGGGTAAAGTTTATTTT